GGTGTCATTGTTCGCCAAATCAGCTGGCGACTTTTTCGCTGGGTGTAGCTATTGGAGCTCCCGCCACATCTGTTCCAGGGTTGTTGGGACTCCCTGGTCCATGATTCCTCCCCCTCTCTTGGCGCTCATTTCCTTTCTGATCATCCATTCGCCCTCTTGCTCGTCATCCTCTGGAGTTTGTGAACGAGAAGGGATAAAGTCACTCCCCTCGCTGGAGTTGTCAGACCCTTATGCGATCCCATTCGCTGGTGTAGTCGTTTTCTCTGGGCGATTGTGGCGTTCCTGCCACGTGCCAGATCTCACCACCGCCGCCTCTCCCCCGAGCATCGCAGCTTGCCCCGGGCCGGCGCTTCTCCTCCCGCCCGTTCGTCCGCGGTTCCCGCCACCTCCACCTCTAGATCCACCTGGTGCTGTCCACGATCCACGGCCCTCCGGGACCCAGAGGATTTGTGGTGCCGCTGATTTTGCGCTTGTCGGTCTGCCCCAGATAATACCTTGTCCCCGAGCCGTGCTCCGTGCTTCCCGGTGAGTGGTGTGTTGCTCGGTGGTGTTTGGTCCCATCGGTGGCACAGTCAGTTGTGCTTGGGCTGATGTTGGCTGTTCCTGACAGTCCTCTTCCCCGGGGGGCCCATCGTTCACTGCAGATGTTGGCAGATGCTCTCACCCTCATGGCGACGGCGCTTGCAGAAGCCAGCCCAGGAGGGGTCCCAAACGACCAGGCGCCAGCGTTGCTCCGAGCCGCCGCGGTGCTGGTCGGGCGCGGAGCCTTACAGCTTTCTCGCGGGCGGCGTGAGCGTCGTCGCGGTTCCCAGGAACTGGTGTACCACCCTCCGCCTAGGCGTGCTCCTGCAATTTTACGGCCTTGGTAGCAGCAAGCGTTTCGGCGCACGCACCACCAGTCGAGTCTTCCGCCACATCCTGGTCCCCATGTTGTACCGCAGAGGCAGCAGGTGCCACAATCGTCTTAGCCTCCTCCGCCTCCTCCAAATCCCCGGTCGCCGTCATTGCAGCCGGCGCCATTGTCTCTGCCGTCTCATGTTGGGTCTGGGCCACCACCACCTCCTCTTGCAACAACGCAGCCACCTCCTCAACAGTGTCGGCCCCGCCACATTCTCCGCAGCATCCTCCTCCACCTGCTCCTCCTGCCATGTCGTCGCTTCCTATGACGGAATATCCACAGCTTTTCCTGGGAGGTAGGCAGATCCCAATCCCGTGGGAGGCACTGGGGCAGTGGGCTCCAACTATTGTTTCTGTGCCTGCACTATCCCCTGATGGACGGTGGAGTCTATGGGTTGAGAACCCACCGGTGGATAGGCTACTCTGCGTCGAGCGGCGCGTAACGACCGTGGGGTTGTGCCTGGATCATCTGGCCACGGTCCTGGATCACATGCACGCCTACCTGAGGTGCCATGGTGTGGAGTGCCCGGTGCTGCCAAAGTCCGAGCAAGAGCTTGCTGTTGCCACCGCGAACGAGATGATATAGTCTCTCCCGCACGTTGGGCTTGAGATGGGAGCCTGGGATTGCCCGAAGCCCTGGCCCGACTGCATTGCGACGGTTAATTTCCGCTGCTCGCCAGTCGCCGCTGGACCTGATACCAGCTGCCGCATCAGTGCTACGTTGGATAGACGGGCGGCTGGTGTGGATTTCGGCTGAGTAGATGTCGCTTTCCCTTTGCCCGCGTGCTTCATTTTTGGCTTGGGTTTGGCCTTCCCCATGGCGGAGTGTCCATGCCCGAAGGTGTTGTTCTTGCTAGACAGCCGCCTGACTGGACTTAATAAGGTAACCCACTGACTGTGCTCTTTGCAGAGCACAAGACCACCGCTGCCTGAAGAGATGAAGGAACCGGGCTGCATGGAATGAGTATGGTTGGGCGTTGAAGTGTCGCCTAGCAGCTGTTTCCGCCAAGAGCTTCAAGAATTGTGGGACCTCGGCACACGGGCACCCGTATGTCTCAACTGCCAAGGGGAAGAAGGTAACCGTGTCAGGGCGGCTGGCATAATGGCTGATTTTCTTGTTGGCCTGCTCCCTCACCGCCCATCCCCTCCCCTTTATGGCAAGTGGGTCCCTGGTGCTGATCGGGTCTGTGATGGTGACATCACAGATGTACACCGCGCCCGAGCTCCTATCACGCAGTGTCAGGCCTGCAGTTTGCTCTTCAACTGGGCAGTAGGCTGCGGATTCTCCGTGGACTATGAAGCCGGCGTCCTCTGCCATCAAGATGCAAGCGTCACGGAGTTCATTGTGAGTATTAATCCTGTGCTTGCCTGTCCCACAGCGGAAAAGGTGATTCGGCAGCCGTGGGTCAGTGATTGCTATGTTCTTAGAGCAGTCACACTTCGCGGGTGTAGAGAAGGGGAGGCCTAGCCTGAAGCGAACTGCGTTTGCGAAGTGAGGAGGGCCTACACGACGGGTTGGTTCTATTGGGATAGCGGTTAGCCAATCCCCCGTGCCGTAGCCTGTCAAGGAGAAAAACCGTTGGGTGTGGCCTGACAGTGGGTTGAGACTCATGTGTCGTGTAGCCTGCACTTGCGTGGCATATCTACTCCCCTGCACCCTCACTCCAAGCTCGTGCTGTAGTTTCAGCCCCTTTGGCTCTAGCCTCTCCATGTCGAGTATGTCTCTAGCTTCTTGTGGCAGCGACGTCTCGCACTCCCCCAACCACTGGTGTAAGGCACTTGTGGTATCTCGAGATAGGAGCATGTGGTCTCGGGCCGCCATCAGAGCCTCCTCTGTTTCTAGCGGTAATGAGCTTAGGAAGAGGCTAGACTGTGTAAAACTAGCCAGGTAGCCAAAACCGCCTTCCACCGTGGGGTCCGTTAATCCAATACCGCCTAGTGACGCTGGGAGTGAAGACTGTTCCCAAACCCGACTCTGTTCTGTGCTGTCCGTTGGGAAACGAATGCCACATGCTGTGAAGAGCGTGGCTAAGAGGTCCCTACCCCACTGGGACCAGGTGACGTGGTTCAGGAGATGTAGCGGGGTCGTTCGTATGAGGTATCCTACACGGCGGGAGATGCAGCGTGTGAGGAGGAGGGAAGCTATCTGCGGGTCTAGGCGCTCGATCAAAGGCAGCGGCCTCGTCATGTCTTGTAGCTGGGCTACTAGGAAGGCGGCAGCGCCTTCAGGTGTGCCTAGGAAAGTGCCTAGAAGTTTAACGTCGGCTTCACTTGTAGGGACTCCCGGTGGCAGCCGTACTGTGCTATCAAGCGGCTGTCTGCTCCATGCGGCACATTTCTCAGGGTTGTGTCGCAAACCCACTTGGGCCAGCTGACTAGTAAAATGGGAGAACGCTGCGACAGCATCCTGTGGTTCGCCCAAAAAGGTCCCGTCGTCGGCGTATGCCAGGCACAGCACGCCGATGTGTAGTGTTGCTGTTGCTCTTAATGCAGGGTGGATCCCAGCCGCAAAAAGAAGCGGTCCTAAGGGATCGCCCTGCCGGACCCCACACTCGCTGAGTATAGGCGAGCTGTTGAAGTTCGCGTCCAGATACAGTAAGGATGGGTCGTCGTAAGTCAGTTTCACTAACGGGAGTAGAGGTGATAGGGCCGGGTCCTGTAATGCTATCACTATGGCTTGTCGTGAAATGCTGCTGAAGGCGTTGGAGATGTCAGTTTGCAGAATGAGGCACTTGGGGTGATTGTCAGTGTATGCATGTGCGCTGTGAATGATTGCCTCCACTCCCCCTGGCACAACGACACCGTACTACAGCGGAAGAAATAGCCGCGCGCCGCCTCGCCGAGAGTTGACAGTGCGGCCTTTGCCGCCAGGCGGGTCAGACATTCGCCGATTGCGATTGGGCGAACCCCTCCTTCAGGTTTGGCCAGGGCAATCAGGAAGGAGGATGTGAGTAAATCCGCCACTGGTTGCGGCATTTTTCCTTTTAGAATGGTATTCACCAAGGCATGTAGATGGGTGGAGACGGATGCATTTGTTACTGACGCGTCGCGTAGGTGTTCAAAAGTCATTCCACTCAGGCCAGCCCGCACTCCGAACTCGCATCAGCTGAGCAATTTCAAAAATTCCGCGTATGCGATCTCGAGGTCTGGTTGGTCGGCGTTGACTGGCCAGACCAAGAGGTCAGGGTCAGCCGGTGGGTGCTTGCGTCGGAGTTTGTCCAGGATTTCTGGACTGGGCGTACAGACCGGCGTTGACTCGAGCACCATCACGGCTCGGCGCAGGCTCCCTTTTTTCGCCAGGCCCTCCGCTCTGTTGATGGTTCCTACGTCGTCAGGCTGGTGACGTGGCGGAGGTGGTGTGTTGACTGCTTCCACCGTGTCCATGTACAGCTGTTGCCACTCGCCGCGTTGAAATGCTCGGAGACGTGCTTTGATTTTCGGCCAATCAGGGCGCCTTGGCAAAGCTTGTCGCAGTGTGAGGCGAGGGAGAAATAGGAGTAACTTCCATCCTGCGATGGAGTCAGGGGTTCTCGAGAGGTGCAGAAGTGGTGTCTGGACCACGAGCAAGAATATCTCGCACAGTTTTGGCGGTAGCCGTCGTAACAGCGTGGGTTGGCGACTATCGCAGAGAGGTGTAATGTCCCATTCTGCCACTTCGGCAAATTTGTCAGCCTGCCTCGCCAGTTCCTCTAGCAAAAAATATCGGGGGTTTTTAGGCTGGCAAGTCGCCCTCGCCTGACCCCTCGCGGCCCGATTCCCACGTCCGCGACCTGTAGCACGAGTAATAGGCGAGGTTGGAATCGTGGCCGTTCTATCGGCATCATGTGGGCCCCGTGTGTTTCCTGATTGTACTGTCATTCCTCTCTGGCTTCCTCCCCTTCCTCTCGTCAAGTGCTCTCTCTCCTCCTTGTTTTCCCCCTCACTGCTGCTGCTCGGGGCTTGTGCCTCCTCCCTATAAGAGGGGTCGTTTCGCTCCTCCGGATCATCATTCTCGTCTAGCCGTGTTAAAGCCCTTCTTGCCGCCGCCTGGAACGCATTCTCCGGTCCGCCTTCAACTCTCCGCCCTTCCCGACGTCCTGCTCCTTGTCTCCTCCCTCCTCGCGATGGTGTTTGCTAGCGAGTTGTGGCCATCGCCAAAGCCCGCTGCCGCTGCGTCAACGGCGAGCGGAAAGTCGCCGCCGGTGTCTGCCTCGGGGAGTGCTGTAATGAAGCCGCCAGTCCCACCTGCCCCAAAGCCAGCCCCCTTGGCCGCTGGATGCCTTGCGCCTCTGGTTTCGGGCCTCGTGTTGTGTGAGGCGTAGGCTGCTCTTGACCCTCCTGCACTCTCTGCTCCTGCTGTTGCGCCGCCTATCCCCGTGAACTCTGCGGCACTGACTGCCGCTGCTGATCCTGCTCCACCAGATGCCCCCGTTCTTAACGCCCCGATGGTTGCAGCTGCCCCTGATGGCGTCATGGCATCGCAACCAGTGGTGTCTGCCACCACTGACGGCCCGGGCCAGGTAGCGGTCTCTTTTGCTCCCGCCCCTCCGCCTGCGTCGCCGCACGTGCAGGCCCCAGACGTCCTGGCGGTTCCTGATCCTGCGCCGCTTGCTGCTGCCCCGCCTGCTCAGCGTCCGCCCTCTCCATGTAGCCGGCAGCATCGGCCACACTCCCCTGCACCTCGTGACGAGCAGGAGAGGTCGCGGCGGCGACATAACTCTCCTCGGCGCCGTGGTTCCCAGGCAAACTGGGCTGCCTCACGCGGTGGTCGCGGTGGCTGGTGGGGAGGGCGCGGTCGTGGTGATGACTGGGGGTATGATCGGCCGGTGTCGATGGCCGATCTGCAGCGAGCTGTTTCTGCTGCGGTGCGCGAGGAGCGGAACGGGCAGGCAAGCCAGAGCAATTTGCCTCACGTCGCTCCAACGCATGCGTCCCTTCCTCCAGCTGCGCCATATGCGCCGGCGCCTCCTCTTCCCCAATCGGCCGTTCCTCCTCCTCATGCCCCCTCTGCATCTGCTGCTGCTCTGGGGAACCGTATGCGCCTGCCGTGGGTTCCTCTAGTGGCGGGTATGGAGTTTGTGACCGTGGCAGGGGGACCCGTGACGGGTCAGTATCCATCTCTGTTGCCCGTCGCTCCTGCTCCGCCGTCTACTGCGCCACCTCATCAGTCGCTGGTGGGGCCCTCTCATTCCGCTGTGGTGCCGGAGGCTTCTCTGGGGCAGCTGTGGCACCTCTCTGAGGGTCTGCGGGTTGTTCACCTGATTCAGGTGTATGGTCACGCGGCTCTCGCCCAGGGTGTTCCTCTGGACATTGGCCCTTGGGACGAGTGCCTAGATGCCGCTGATCGGCTGGGCGAGCTCCTGGCGCCCGTGTTGGCTGCGCCCGCGCGGGGTGGAGTTGCGGGCGTTGGACAGCTTGGGATGGCAGTCCGTGGTCTGCGTCGTTTTTTGCGCGCAGGGACTGCAGTCGACTTGATCGACGCAACCACAGTGGTGGTGCGCGAGCTTCATCGCTCTCTGATGGGTTTTCTCGCCGTCCTTGATGCGGATCAGATGTAGCGTCCGCCTCTTCCTGCGCCATGTTGTTGCCATGTGTTGTCCTAGGCAGATGTAGGTGTTGCCATTGTGTGTATGTCTTGAGTTATAGTTGCTCTCGCTCTCTCTCTGCTGGGTTAGAAGAAATGAACCCACGAACTAAATAATGAGCCACACACCAGGCTCACGGCCTTATATAGCAGGGGTAGGGGCAGCTGAGAGGCTGAGAGGCTAAGGGACTAAGGGACTATGCCTCTCTCTCTCTCTCTCTCTCTCTCTCTCTCTCTCTCTCTCTCTCTCTCTCTCTCTCTCTCTCTCTCTCTCTCTCTCTCTCAAATGGTCCGTTGTATTAATTCAGCAGGGGTACAGACATGCAGTTCTATCCATGATAACCTCTATCCCATAAGCCCATCAACTCACCCCTCTTCCCCTCCCCTCCCCCCTGAGTGACCCTCTAGCCCTCCAGCGTGTGTAGGATGTCCCCCAGGTGCAGCGGCCAGGGGTCCGCTGCCATCTGGGGGTGTGCTGCCTCAATCCCAGCCCTGGCCTTGGTGTGCAGGGTGTTCGCCTGGGAGCGCTGAAGGGCCACTGACCAGCGCTGGCTGAAGTGGCAGGCCATCTTCTTGGCGGATTTCGCCAAGGGGCTGGCCCTGAAGCGGTTCCTAGCTGCTGCTGTGGCCAGCAGTTTCAGGAACGCCGTCGTGGGGGGCGCGTTTGCCCCATAGGTCTCGACGGCCAGGGCGCAGAACACCACGTGTTCAGTGTGTCGGTAGTAGTCCCTCTCCTTCCGCTTCTGTGCCTCCCTTGCAGCCCAACCTGGGGGTTTGCGGGCCGTAGGGTCTCGGTTCTGCAGCACAGGGTCAGTGATCGTGGTGTCTGTGATCCAGGTCTCTCCGCTGTCCGGGTCTTGTACAATCACATCTGCCTTCTTCGGGTCATCCGGAGGTGAGTACATCGCATTCTCCAGGTATACCACCAGCTGCGCCTCCCTCGCCATTTTAGCCATGGCGAAGGCCAGCTGGTTGTGTGTGCGCGTCCTGTCGGAGCCTGTGCTGCAGCGGAGTAAGTGGTTGGGTAGGCTGCAGTCGGCTACGAGTTCTCCGCACTCGCACACGGTTGGTACATTCTGTCGGATGCCCATGCGGAAGGCCAGGGCCGCTCGGAACTGTCCTGGTGAGAAGCAGAGGTCCGGGGTCAAGGGTAGTGCCTGCAGCCACGCTCCCGCTCCCTCTCCTCTCAGGCTGACTAGGCGGAGTGTGTGGCCCATCTCGGGGGCTGACTGTATTGCGCGTGACTCCTCTCTTAGGGCGTCGGCCTTTGCCGCGTGCACTTCCTGGGAGAGGGCGCGCTGCAGTTGGTCCTGGGACGGGGTTTGCTGCTCCTCCCGTAGGTTTTGTAGCGCCAGCGGTGGCAGTCGCCCCTCCATGTCCTGGATGGTCACGGAGTGCGCTGCAGACGGCTGCAGGGCGTTGCTGTCGGCCCCTAGCGGCGCGGTTGCCGGTAAGTCCAGGGAGCGGAGCAGGCGCAGCGCCTCTGTTGTAGATGCCAGGTAGGCTGGTGCTGCTTCAGTTGTGGGGTCCGTAAGGCCCAGTCCGCCTAGGGCTACTGGGAGAGTTGCCTGTCGGAGAAGGAAGTTGAACTCGGCTTGTCGGCGTGGCGGTTGAATGCTGGCGGCGGTCAAGGCAGTGTTCAGTAATTCGGCGCACCATGTGTGCCATTCCGAGAGCGGTAAGACGTCAGCTGGGGTAGTGCGCAGCAGGTAGCCGACTCTGCGGCTGATGCAACGAGACAGTAGCAGGAGGGCGTGTTGTGGGTGGATGGACGCCAGAGAGCCCAAGGGGGCTGCCGCGTCTGTTAGGGTGCTGCGGACAAAATCAGAGCAGAAGCTCTGCGACCCCACTGGACTTCCCAACACCCGCACCCCCTCGCGGGTGAGGGGAAGGTCCGCGGGGAGTACGTCCCCTCCTAGCGGCACGGTGGACCACGCCGACGACTTCCTAAAGTTGCAGGTGAGACCGTCCCGTGCCAGCAGCGGCGTGAGCTCCCTGAGCGCTTCCAGCGTCGCCGCCGCGGGTCCAATCATGGTTATGTCGTCCGCGTAAGCGAGGACCGTGACTTCGGGGTGCTCCGTTGCTACGTGCCTGAGGTGCTGCTGGATAGACGCTGCGAATAACAGAGGTCCGAGGGGATCCCCCTGTCTGACTCCCCTTCCGCTGGTGAGTGCCGTGGAATTGAAGCATGGGTCCAGCAGCAGTGGTGAAGATGCTGCGTAGAAAGAGCGTGTGAAGGGGATTAGGGGAGCTAGTGGGGAGCCGATGAGTGCGTTGAAGAACGCGCTCCTCTCTACTGAGTTGAACGCGTTCTCAATGTCGAGCTGGAGTACTAGGCTGGAGGGCTGCACCGTGGTGAGGTCTCGGACAGCATGGATGACAAATTCTGCACCTCCAGGGACTGCCACGCCAAATTGCAGAGGTAGGAAAAAAATTCGCGTTTCTCCTTGCAGATCTGAGAGCGCCACCTTCGCCGCCAGCCTAAGCAATGACTCTCCAATCGCAATGGGACGTACCCCCCCCCCCCCTGGTTTGGCGAAGGCTATAAGGCGGGACGGGGCAAGTAGTGCTGCGACTTCAGTGGAAAGATTTGTCGAGAGAAGATGCGTAACGGCGGAGTGGAGGTGCCCTAGTACCTCGATGTTACTTAGCGCTGGATCGCGGTAGTGTTCGAAAGTTGACCCCGATGGGCCAGCCCCAATTCCCCTGGGGCATTCTCCAAGGACGTCGGAAAAGCGTTCCAGAGTGGTTGAGAATTGCGTGGGTGTGGTGTAGGAATGCACCCACTCGGGCAGGTCATTTTGGGGTTGGGGGTGTTTCGATTCCAGCTGCTGTAGTGTCGCAATTGTCGCAGGTGCTTTAGGCGAGGGTTGTAGGGCTGCTAACGCCTTTCGCAGGTTACCCCGTTTCACCAACCCCTTCGCACGTGAGCAGATTCCCAGTGGGTCACGTTGGTGCTGAGGTGGTTCGGCCAGGTGCATTGACCCCAAGTAGTCAGTGTACAGCTGGGTCCAGTGGCCACGTCGGAATAGATGCATCTGTTCCCGCAGCAGTTTCCATCTAGAGCTGGATCTCCGGCTAAGTCTTAGCGTGAGACGTGGCAGGAACATGAGGACCCGCCATGCTCCTGCGCAGTTAGGCAGCTTGGAGATCCGAAGTAGGGCAGCCAGCATACAGGTGGAGTAGTCGCTGAGGATCTGCGGCGGCAGTCGGCGGATGATTGGTAGGTGGGTGGTGGAGGTTAGGAGTGTAAGGTCCCAAGTCATCGCGATCTGGAAAAGATCCTCCCGCGAGGCCAGCTGGGACGCCGATAGTGCCTGGTCCGGGGGAAGCTGAGCCCTGCGATGCTGTCTGCGGCCGGTTCCTCTCTCCTGTTGCTGCGCTTGCCCCTCTCCTTGTTCCGCGTGAGGTGAGGCGGGATCGTCTGGTTGCCTCAGATCTGACGGTATATAATCGTCTCCACTCCCCTCTGTGTTGATATCCCTGTTTCTCCCCGCTTGCGCTGGTGTTCCTCCCCTCGCCCCCCGCCTGACGAATGACTGGCGCGTGACTCGTTCCGCCGGCTCCCCCAACCAGATTGGGCTCGGCAACTGGCAGGGCGGTCCCCTTCCCGCTTGGCCTGCGCTCCTCTGCCCTCCGCGCGCTCCTCGTCGCCCGCCTCTCCCCCGCGTGCTTCCCCGTCCGCTTCGCGGGGTAGCTGCCACAGGTTCCGCCTGTTGCGCCTGGGAGATCGGCGTTGTCGGCTCCTCGTGTGCCAGTGGAGCGTCTTGAGCGTTGGCCAATGGATTTCCTTGGCGCTCTTGGCCGCGACTGCACCGCGGAGAGCGATCCTGCTCCCCGTCCGTTTCCTCCTGCACGCCCTGCCGCGAGCGTGCCTGTTGCTCCGCCGGCGTCCGCTGATCAGATCCGCCGCCGCTTCGAGGACCAGCGGCGCGAGTTGGCTCCGCGCGCGGGCAGGTCCTTGTCACCGCGGGAGCCCCCGCGCGCGGGGTCTGTCTTGCGCTCCGGCGCAGAGGCTGTGGCGCACCAGGAGCGTTCGCCTCGCCGTCGCTCATCGGCAGCTCGCGACGATAAGCGGGAGAGCCGCCGCGATGATCGTCACGGTGCGGCCCGTTCGCCGCTGTCGCCTCGTTCGCCTCGTCGCGTGGCGTCGCGAAGCCGATCCCGTGACCGCCGCTCGTCATCGTTCGCCCCCTCACCGTTCATCTCGCCAGCAGTCGCCTGCCCGCCAGACGCCTGGGCGTCGGCCCCCAGCTCCGCGTTCGCCCCCTCCTGCAAAGCGCCAACGGCTCTACTCCCCTCGTCGCGGGGACCGTTTTCCTGGCCGCCAGCGTCAGCAGGGCCCATCTCGCCCGCAGTCGCCTGTGCGCTCGAGCGCAAGTGGGCGTGCGCGTCGTGGGCGACGGGGGGGTGACACTCGCGGCGGAAAAGCGCGTCCAGCACCGTCCGCAATGGAGCGTCGTCTTCTGGATAGGCTTGATGACGTGGAGAAGGAGCTTCGTCGCTCGCGTGCGGGGTCGGCGTTACCATCAGCTCCTCGCGCTGCTCCCGTCGTCCCTCTCTCCACGCTCCTGCCCCACAATCCCTTTGGATCCCCGGCGCGTTCAGAGCGGCCGCTGCCTGCGGGGATGGGCTTCGTAGGTGCTGGTGGCGGGCCGCCGTGGGCTCAGTTTGCTCCGCCGCGTCCTCTTCCTGCTCCGCGTGATCTCGCTGTGTCGTCTCACTGTGCCCGCACGTCTGCGTTACTTCCGCCGATGAAGGAAGTTCCCACGGCGACCCTGGCCCGCTTATGGTCGCTGGCGGCGTCCCTGAAGAGCCTTGAGCGGATTCTCCAGGAGTCATTTGACTCCATGCCGGTGAGCCCTCCGAGCAGGTTCTCTCAGAAACTGCGAGCAGATTGTCATGCAGCGGCGTCAGCGCTATTCGCGCTCGTAACGCCACTGCAGGTAGCGCCCTCGCCGGGAGCAACCTCGG